GTTAGGAGAGAGAAGGCCAACTATAAGGTAAGAGAGACTATGAGCATCTGTCCTTCTCCTTGGCATGTGGAAAGTGGCTGTTGTTCCAGGATGCTCACCAAGCTAGTCAACTGTGGATATGGAGAAGGGCTTAGTAACCATTCTTCTCTTCAGTTACCATACCGGATGAGCACATGGTAAGTGAAATATGGCCGTAGACACATTGTATTTCTTTGCACCAGGAGATGGGAGCTTTTTTCCTTCTCTCGCATCTGGACTGGACCTATGATCATTCATCCAACAAAATGGCAGAGTGATGTTTGCCCATTGTGAGTTCAGCCTTTAAAAGCTTTCCCTTCTTTCTGGAAATGCCTACTCTGAGGAGTCCTGAGCCACCTGCAAGAAACTGGCTACCTTTCTGGGGACACTATACAGAGAGGAGAGGCCCTGGGACCGCTTAGGGAGGGATGCCAAGCCATTTCTGCATCCCAGTTGAGTCTCCAGCAGACTCTAGCCCTAGCCATCTTATGATTAAAATTGCATGAGACACCCCAATGAGACCTGCAAAAGAACTGTCTAGTGGATCCCCCATCAACCCACAGGTAACTGTGAGAGATAATAGGGCTGCTTTCTTAAAGCTACTGAATTTTGAGATGATTTATTTTACAACAGTAGATGACCAAAACAATGGGGAAGAGAATTCACTTTTTTGGACCCAAAAGGCCACTAGTTAGCAGAGGAAATAAGATTAGACAAGCAATGCTGCTGATATTTCCTAAGGGGCTTGGCCTGTTGGTATGAAACAGAGTTAGGAGTCATCCTCTCCTTGCTCTCTTTGGGAAGAACAGCTTAAGATTCAGTCAAGGGGGCCACAGTTAAAAAATTCTGAAACAGGCATCGACAGTGCTGATGGAGGTTCCATATGGGCATGTGTTGTCACTGGAGAGTCATTTTCAGGGTGGCCTCTCTGGTCCCCGGCAAAACATTTCCTCTATTAGAAAAGGTCATCATGGTATGGGATAGGTAGGTTCTCCCAAACCTAGATGCATCTTTTTCCTGGGTGAGGTGGCTTCAATCCCTTTGGACATGTTTCCAAGCCAAAGAATATGGATGCAAAAGACATCCACAAAGTCGTGATGCCTGTTCTCATCCACTTTGGTGTAGAACTCCTTTCTTCTTGTGAAAACTAATGGCCACTGGAGAACACTTTCCTGCACTTCAAAACATCTCACACATCAGAAGACGCAGGGGCATTGTTTCTGCGTTGACAGTTAATGAGCTCACACAAAGAGAACACAGATTTGAAGCATGCTGACTCCCCTTGTTTTCCTCATCAATTCTGCTTCAAAGGCTTGCTTTAGAGAACACAGCGTTCTTTGAGGACCTTCCGAAGGGAAAGGCTCCATTGTTTCATCCCTGTGTGACCTGTGTGTGTAATTGGGCTGATAATGCACACTGGTGCTCTTTCCTGGGGGCCCAGCTGCTTGATGAAGGGTAGAGGCACGCCCCCTGTGAAATGGCTGTAGGATGGTAACTACAGAGTCCCAGGAGAGTCAAGGACATGTGTAGCTGGAAAAAAACACCAACTCATCAAGCCCATGGACTTCCGTACTATAAATTAACTATTTCAAGCTACAGAGAACAAAGCTCAGCTAAATCTTTATCTAGCAGGTGAATGGCACAGAAAAACCTTAGAGGGTGGATGCAATATAAGGTTATCAAGGACTGCTTTAAAAGGTTCGTTGTGAAAGTGGCAATAAAGTCAAATATCCCCAAACCACAAGTCTGTTACTAGAAAGCTGTTTCATGGATCTAGAACCATATACCAGTTAACATAATTTTCTATGACAATGTAAATCAAATTGAACAGAATTTCATTAGACATTAGTTACATGTGGCTATCAAGAACCTGAAAGGAAGCTAGTCTGAGTAATTACAACTTTATTTTATTTTATTTTTGGATTTTTTTCTTTTATATCTTTTTATTTATTTTTTTATTTAGTAAATATAAATTTCCAAAGTACAGTTTATGGATTACAATGGCTTCTCCCCCCCAATAACTTCCCTCCCACTCGCACCCCTCCCATCTCCCGCTCCCTCTCCCATTCCATTCACATCAAGATTCATTTTCAATTATCTTTATATACAGAAGATTGATTTAGTATATATTAAGTAAAGATTTCATCAGTTTGCCCCCACACAGAAACACAAAGTGTAAAATACTGTTGGAGTACTAGTAATAGCATTACTTCACATTGGACAACACATTAAGGACAGATAGCACATGAGAAGTAAGTACACAGTGACTCCTGTTGTTGACTTAACAATTTGACACTCTTGTTTATGGTGTCAGTAATCTCCCTAGGCTCTAGTCATGAGTTTCCAAGGCTATGGAAGCCTTTTGAGTTTGCCAACTTCGATGTTATTCCGACAGGGTCATAGTCAAAGTGGAAGTTCTCTCCTCCCTTCAGAGAAAGGTACCTCCTTCTTTGATGGGCCCATTCTTTCCACCGGGATCTCACTCGCAGAGATCTTTCATTTAGGTCATTTTTTTTTTCCAGAATGTCTTGGCTTTCCACGCCTGAAATACTTTCATGGGCTCTTCAACCATATTTGAATGCCTTAAGGGCTGATTCTGAGGCCAGAGTGCTATTTAGGACATCTGCCATTCTATGAGTCTGCTGTGTGTCCCGCTTCCCATGATGGATCATTCTCTCCCTTTTTGATCCTATCAGTTAGTATTAGCAGACACTAGTCTTGTTTGTGTGATCCCTTTGACTCTTAGACTTATCAGTGTGATCAATTGTGACCTGAAATTGATCACTTGGACTAGTGAGATGGCATTGGTACCTGCCACCTTGATGGGATTGTATTGGAATCCCCTGGCACGTTTCTAACTCCACCACTTGGGGCAAGTCAGCTTGAGCATGTCCCAAATTGTACATCTCCTCCCTCTGTTATTCCCACTCTTATATTTAACAGAGATCACTTTTCAGTTAAAATTTAAACACCTAAGAATAATTGTGTGTTAATTACAGAGTTCAACCAATAGTACTAGAACAAAACAAAGAGAAAATACTAAAATAGATAAAGTATTACATTGTACATCAACAGTCAGGACAAGAGCTGGTCAAGTCACTGTTTCTCATAGTGTCCATTTCACTTCAACAGGTTTCCCCTTTGGTGCTCAGTTAGTTGTCACTGATCAGGGAGAACATATGATATTTGTCCCTTTGGGACTGGCTTAATTCACTCAGCATGATGTTTTCCAGATTCCTCCATCTTGTTGCAAATGACCGGATTTCGTTGTTTTTGACTGCTATATAGTATTCTATAGAGTACATGTTCCATAATTTCTTTATCCAGTCTACTGTTGATGGGCATTTGGGTTGGTTCCAGGTCTTAGCTACTGTGAATTGAGCTGCAATAAACATTAATGTGCAGACAGCTTTTGTGTTTGTCAATTTAATTTCCTTTGGGTAAATTCCAAGCAGTGGCATGGCTGGGTTGTATGGTAGGGTTATATTCAGGTTTCTGAGGAATCTCCAAACTGACTTCCATAGTGGCTTAACCAGTTTGCATTCCCACCAACAGTGGGTTAGTGTCCCTTTTTCCCCACATCCTCTCCAGCATCTATTGTTGGTAGATTTCTGAATGTGAGCCATTCTAACCGGGGTGAGGTGGAACCTCACTGTGGTTTTGATTTGCATTTCCCTGATGGCTAGTGATCTTGAACATTTTTTCATGTGTCTGTTGGCCATTTGGATTTCCTCTTTTGAAAAATGTCTATTGAGGTCCTTGGCCCATCTCTTAAGTGGGTTGTTCGTTTTGATGTTGTGGAGTTTCTTGATATCTTTGTAGATTCTGGTTATCAACCCTTTATCTGTTGTGTAGTTTGGAAATATTTTTTCTCATTCTGCCAGTTGCCTCTTCACTCTCCTGACTGTTTCTTTTGCAGTACAGAAACTTCTCAATTTGATGCAATCCCAATAGTTAATTTTGGCTTTGACTGCCTGCACCTCCAGGGTCTACAGCCAACTTATATTTGAAGAAGGATCTAAAACCAATCCCTGGAGTAAGGACCGTCTATTCAATAAATGGTGCTGGGAAAATGGGATTTCCACGTGCAGAATCATGATGCAAGACCCCTACCTTTCACCTTACACAAAAATTCACTCAACATGGATTAAAGACTTAAATCTACGACCTGACACCATCAAATTATTAGAGAGCATTGGGGGAACCCTGCAAGATATAGGTACCAGTAAAGACTTCCTAATTACAACTTTATCTTATTATTATTATTAATTTATTTTCATTTTACTTGAAAGGGAGGGAGGGAGAGAAGGAGAGAGAAAGATAAACAGACAGAGATAAATCTTTCATCTTCGGGTTTACTCCCAAATGCCCACAAAAGCTCGGGCTGAGCTAGGCCAAAGCTAGCAGCCCAGAATTTACATCTGGTCTCCCATGTGGGTGGCAGGGACCCAACACTTCAGCTATCACCTGCTGCTTCCCAGGTTCTGCCAAGTTGGATTGGAAGCAGAGGAGCTGGGACATGAACCCAGGCACTTCTATATGGGATGCAGTCATCCCAAGCCATATCCCACAGATGCACCAAATTCTTGCCCTCAAATTTTAATTTTATTTAGTTTTCATTAATTAAATGACCTTTTAAATAGCTACATATGGCTAGTGGCTCCTACATTCAACAGTGTAGACCGAGAACATTGATGGCAAATAAAAACAGGCTTAGCAGATATTTTAAGGTAAGGTGTAAGCAGTGGCTCGATAAGAAATTATGGTTGAGTGACAGGCAGCTTTCAGTTCATTTGTTTATTTTAATTTAATAACTATAAAAATATTTGTTAAGAGCATCATCAAGTTTGAGGACCAATGGTTCAGAATCAGGAGAGGATGTGGGTAAGTGCAATGTGGTCATCAGGTCCACTGTCTGGAACCAATGAATCTTTTATATTCTGAACGTATGCAAAATGATATAAAGGCTTTGAAATACTCACCATCGTCCATAATCCCAATGGTCACACCTTTTCCTGTGTATCCCAGCTCCCAGGCTTCTGCCACATTCAAATCAAGGCCAGGAGTTCCATCAGCTTGCCCTGTGTTTATCTGGTACAAGGATTCCAAAGCAGGGAATCTTGTTAGGGTGGGCCTGCAAACCACCTGCATAAATATTGGCTTGACTTTCTCTGCAGTCATTTGATATTCTAGAACCAGCTCAAAGGCCCCATCTCCCATGAAACAGTATTCTGGGTGTTCTTTCTCCTCCACCCCCATCTTACAGATGTTCCTATCCATTTTTTAGAAAATAAACAATTGATGCTTTCTGTTTTATGTAAATATGCAAAACAGTTTCAATCCCCACATCGCTTATAGCTAGAATGCTGTCTTTGAACTTCTACAAAAAAACCTTAGAGTCACAAGAATCCCTCCCTACTGCATAGATCTTCGTTCATATCTCCCATTTTGAATTTAGCACGTATTGTCTTGGTTTATTCTTATTTGAACATAATTTCCTCACTAAATAACAATATTCTTTGCAGGAGGGACCATGTACCATGAGCAATTTCAGTACCATCACACTCAGTCTTGGTCACAAATATTTGTTGAGCTAAATTAAAGAAAGATGGCTCACCTTGTGTTCATGTTGTAATGCAGAAAAATGAAACCATGTGCCCCCAAAACTCAAAAAGAAAGAGAAAAAAAAAGGAAAAACAAAGAAAGGAAAAGAAAGCAAAATTCCAAATTAATATATTCACTGTATTCTTTCCCTGTAACTTTGTAACTTCTTAGTTACAAAGATTTTCTCAGAAATGTGCAGGTTATCTCAAATTTGATTATAAAATTAGTGACATCAGAGCTCATATCAGCCATGATCAGTGGCTATTATAGTACAGCTAAAAGCTTTGTGTGAATATCACTAGCGCTTCTTACAAAAATCACTGTTCTCCTCATTGGTACAGGTTACGACTACACTTGTCCACCCACTCTGAATTAAGAATGGCCAATAGTAGGCGAGCTCATGTGATCACATCCAGGCAGAAGCTTTCAGAGCCAGTGTACAAGCTCCCCCTTTTCTTTATCAAAGTGCTTCTGAAAGCAATGTTGGGATGCAGCGAGGTGCAGCTTGATCAGCTTAGGTTCCAGAAGCATTAGGAAGCACTGGTCATGTAGCAAGAATGAGAACTAAGCTGTGACTTTCGTAGGACACTGAGATTTCGGGGTTTATTGTTACTGAAACAAACCTAGCATATTCTGACTAACACATGGTGGCTCAGTTACCCAGCTTGGGTTTTCAGAATTCCATGCAGAAAAGCATGGGGCATGGTCAAACTTGATGCAGTGGGAAATGAGATGCATTTCTTAATAGAGTAGTTCACAGGGTAGTAATTTAGTTTCCTCTCTTCATCTTTTTAATCTTAACTAAAATAAAGCTCCATTCACTTTTATAAATTATTCATTTTCCTTCAATATGCTGTGCAGTTGGGGTTGCTTTGGAATCACTGATTGTCTTTTAACCCTAACTCAAGCAATCCACATGAATCATAGTATACTGCTGGTGGACATACCCACTTCACTGGGTTGCCTGAATCCTGCAGCAATAGAACTGATTTCCTGCTATCACTTTAAGAAGCAGCAACAGAAAATACTTCTGCTAGTTGAATCCTGAGCTACTTGGTTTGCTCCTTGTGAAGTCACCTGTTTCTTTCTTTTATGTCTGTGACTTCATTATGTCTCCCATTATTCTGCCTGTTGGAACCCCAGGATTACTCCTTCCACACCTTTGATTTGACTTCTGTGCAATTTTGCAAGTCGTCACTCACAAACTCTCAGAGACCTGGAGGATGTGATCAGCTGTTGGTAGCAGCCTTGACCCAGGAGATCATGACTATTTAGCAGTTCCAGAAGAAAGCAGATGAGAGGACAAGATGCCCGAGTGGTGACAGAAAATCAATACACATTGGAGGAGATGTTGAGTCGGATGCTGGCTAACACCCCACTGAATAATGAGGACACAGAAATATATCTCTCATCTGAAGTTTCAAGATGAGAGATGTTACAAGAAGTAGAGACACTTACCAGATACCACTGCTTTGTAAAAAGAGGATCATTCATATTGATGTCAATCTCATTGATGTCTCTGTACCCTCGCTTTTTCCGGTCAAATCCTTCCTGTTGCAAGGCCATCTTTACCTGAAAGGACAATACTCGTGTGTTACCTGAGTACCAGCCTGAACACTTCTCTCTTGGAATTTAGTTCCATGCATTCAAATTTTATTTATAAATAACATGGTTTCTTTTTCCCTCTGCCAAGTCCATGTACCTTATCGCGTCACGATTCCTTTCAAACAGCACCTACTTATGGCTGCGCTGAGCAAATAAGTTTTGGTGATGGCTTAAAATGAGCTTCCTTAAAATAAGGATTAGATGGAGAAAAGCATTCTCAAAGGAGATAAAGGGATAGCGGTCATCAAGTGAAAACAAAACAATGGAGCATGTCTATGTATCAAGGAAAAGAGACTGATGTGGATTCAAGGAAAGGGAGGGTGAAAACTGTGTAGATCATTATTTTGGGGGGACATCCCCACTTTTACAGTTATTAACAGAACTGTGCTATTACATTTAGAATCAGGTGACAAACAAACAAATAAACCCAAACATCTGCTCTGAGAGTAAGCAAAGCTTCAGAAGGTATGTGAGTGACTTTTGAAAAGAGATTGTTGGATGGCACTGCTGTCTTTGCATTGGTTACATTTAATTTCTAGATGATCAGGCAGAACTCTGAGCTCTTGGATGGAAACAACACTTAGGAGCTGAGTGAGTGCCAACAGGCTGCTGGCAATAGCTGGGCCTTGTTGCAATCAGTGAACTTCCTTTCACTCGGGCAATAACTAATTTACCCAATAGCTGTGGCCAGTCTCCAAATGTCTCCAAGCTCAAGGACTAGGCACATGTGCAAAATGATGTGTGCTGCACACTTATTTTCTTATATTTTGTGAGTCAACATCCATTTCCCCTCTTCCCAAATCTCTACAGTGTATTTGGAGGGACTGCCTTGAATTCACTGGGTTCTGTGGTGGTAGGAGAGAATTGTAGGTGCCCACCTGCTGTAGACAGAGGGCTTCCTTGGCTTCCAAGTGGCTCGATGCTGTCTCTGTCCCAGGATATGAATCTGATACAAGGGAAAAAGGAACCTTGGAGCTTATTTATCTAAGAGGCTCACTTGCCAGACTGCCCTGGGAAAATGTCTTTGCTGTGATTTCTGCAGCCTCACCCTGGATCTCCCCCAAGACTGAACTTCAGTCTCCAATTGATTATGAGCCCCTGACACCTGTCCAACAACTTCCCTTTTACAGAAGTGATCCACAATCCATCCCTGCTGCTTGCAATAAAGAACTCCAATTGATATGGGTGCGACGAGAAGACGGCAGGGTCCAAGTCGAGAACGACTGCAGAGAGGGAAGAGGAAAGGGACCACAGCTGCGACTCCAGGTTCTTCCCTCCCCTGCTGCCTGGACTATGGCAGAATCCGGGTGAGACGAATTCCTTACTTTGCTCTGCACATGTAGAGGCCTGAGGCTCCTTTCCCAGAAAAATCACACTACTATAAACTCTGTACACATGGAAAAGAGGTGTTAGTGTAGCATTGGCTCTGTAGGCTCTTTGGATGTATTTCAATAAGGCACATTTTCTGTGGAGAGCTTTAAACAATTACCGCTAGGCCGGCGCCGTGGCTCACTAGGCTAATCCTCCGCCTAGCAGCGCCGGCACACCGGGTTCTAGTCCCGGTCGGGGCGCCGGATTCTGTCCCAGTTGCCCCTCTTCCAGGCCAGCTCTCTGCTGTGGCCAGGGAGTGCAGTGGAGGATGGCCCAGGTGCTTGGGCCCTGCACCCCATGGGAGACCAGGAAAAGCACCTGGCTCCTGGCTCCTGCCATCAGATCAGCGCGGTGCGCCGGCTGCAGCGCACCGGCCGCGGCGGCCATTGGAGGGTGAACCAACGGCAAAGGAAGACCTTTCTCTCTGTCTCTCGCTCTCTCTGTCCACTCTGCCTGTCAAAAAAAAAAAAAAAAAAAACCAAAAAAACCAAAACCAAAACCAAAAACAATTACCGCTAAAGAAACTGGAAAGTAGGGGACGGTGCCGTGGCATAGCGGGTAAAGCTGCTGCCTGCAGTGCCCGCATCCCATATGAGTTCTGGTTTGACTCCCAGATGCTCCATTTCTGATCCAGCTTTCTGCTATGGCCTGGGAAAGCAGAAGATGGCTGGCCGGCGCTGCAGCTCACTAAACTAATCCTCCGCCTGTGGCGCCGGCACCTCAGATTCTAGTCCCGGTTGGGGCGCCAGTTGTGTCCCAGTTGCTGCTCTTCCAGTCCAGCTCTCTGCTGTGGCCTGGGAGTGCAGTGGAGGATGGCCCAGGTCCTTGGGCCCTGTACCTGTGTGGGTGACCAGGAGGAAGCACATGGCTCCTGGCTTTGGATCAGCACAGCATGCCGGCCACAACTTGCCAGCTGTAGTGGCCACTTGGGGGGTGAACCAATGGAAAAAGGAAGACCTTTCTCTCTGTCTCTCTTTCTCTCTCACTGTCCACTCTTCCTGTCAAAAAAAAAAAAAAAAAAAAGATGGCCCAAGTCCCTGGGCCCCTGTACCCGCATGGGAGACCCAGAGGAAGCTCCTGGCTTCTGGCTTCGGATCAGCCCAGCTCTGGCTATTGTGGCCATTTGAGGAGTGAATCAGTGTATGGAAGACCTCTTTCTCTCTGTAACTCTGCCTTTCAAATAAATAAATAAATAAAAAAGATTTATTTATTTGAAAGGCAGAGTTACAGAGAGAAAGAGGCAGAAAGAGAGAGAGAAAGAGGTCTTCCTCCCTTGCTATTCTCAGGGTAAAACTGGAAATTCCTAAGGAGTGGGGCAGGCACTTTTGACCTTGCTAAAGGTAACTTTTGGGAAAGGCAAGCATTTTTGCACCCTCAAGTATGGATGGGTATTATTTCTTATAAGGGCAAACATCTGGACTTAATTCACTGGACTTAATTCACATCCATGAACTGGAGATACATTATGATTTAAATATACACACATAAAGGGGGACACTTTATAAAGTCCTTGGAAAAAAGGAACTAAAATGTTCATTTTGGTGCAAAAAGTTTTGAAATTGAAGCACCGAAATAAATATGTTTTAATTCCATTTTCTGTGGGCCTTCTGCAGTATCTTCTAGATAAATACATGTAAAGATCTATGTGCATCTCTCTCTCTCTCTCTCGATATTCTCTAAGAATCAGATGCCAAGACGGGTTCAAATGTACAAGGGTTTTATTAGGAGAGAAAGAAACTGATGCAAGTCTGCCCCCAAGTTAAGGAGAGGGTGAACAAGGATGGGAAAATACGTTCTTTAATTCACTGTAGCCTAAGGAAGGTCTGGCTAGGCTGTGGAGGATTGAAACTTGGCTGTCAGAGGAATTCTGTGTCTCCTAGGGCTGGGCCTGCCTCAGTACTGCTGCCTTGCTCTGTCACCAGCTGGCAGCAGGAATGGGAAGGATGGCCTTATTGCCACACAGTCATAGATTTCAGAGCACAGTAGTTGGGGTCCTTGGTCAGTTATTCACCCTGAAGTCAAGAGTCTGCCTTGTATGTACTCTCATGGCTACTGTAGGGTGTGTGTGTGTGTGTGTGTGAGAGAGAGAGAGAGAGAGAGAGAGAGAGAGAGAGAGAGAATACTCATTAATGGGGAACACTTAAAATATCAAAGGAAACGTATAGTTCTCAAGCTGGGAAGACAGTAATGACAAACCATTTCTTTGCTATGGAAGCAATATTCAAACAAGAGCATCACTTCAGTTTGAAAAGGAGCCTGAATTAGACTACTGTGGCCCCACAATGAGGTCTTTATTTACTCTAATCACTAAAGGGAGGCCTTGAATGTTTTCCAGTGAGGGCTTCCCATTACACTGGATTCCTTGTCATGAATAACTTATGAGATGATACCTTGCCCTGCTGGGCCTGCCAGGAAGCAAGAGCAGCCACCATGTGACAGCTGGAAAGTTCTCATCTATATGTGGTTTCCTAGCAGTACAAGAACAAAAAGGCAGATTTATCCTTTTTGTATCAGTGCAGGAATGGCTACTACAATCACTCCAAACTCAATTAGACCAAGTGCACTGTAATGAAAAGACTATCTCAATTCATTTCCATACAATTAATTTTTAATTTCATAAATTAGGTTTTCATGGGAACCAGCAATGCCTTGGAACACTGCACTCCCTGGACTCCACCTCTCCTTGCAACAGAGGGGCTCAGGAATCCTAGGAGAGGCGGTGTTGAGTCCCTTAGTTCATCATCCTGCCTCGGTGACCAACTCAGTTACACTCGCACAGAGAGGAGTGCCTTTGCAATTTTCTATTTCCAACCGCTACACACAAATAACCAGAAAACAGTTTTTCCCCCCACAATGACAGTGTGAAACACTTTCAGTGGTTTTAATTTTTCTGGGTTTTTGTTCAATCCTACTTCGAATTTTCACATTTTTAGCACTCATACTATGGGTAAAATTGTGTGTTCCTTCCTCACTGAGTTTTCCACCATAACATGCTGCTACACAGCCATCATGTGTTTTTTAAACTTTTATTTAGTAAATATAAATTTCCAAAGTATAGTTTATGGATTACAATGGCTCCCCCCCCCAATAACTTCCCTCCCACCCGCAACCCTCCCATCTCCCACTCCTTCTCCCATTCCATTCACATCAAGATTCATTTTTGATTATCTTTATATACAGAAGATCAATTTAGTATATATTAAGTAAAGATTTCATCAGTTTGCCCCCACATAGAACACAAAGTGCCAAACACTGTTTGAGCACTAGTCATATCATTAATTCACATTGAACTACACATTAAGGACAGAGATCCTACATGGGGAGTAAGTGCACAGTGACTCCTGTTGTTGACTTAACAAATTGACACTCTTGTTTAAGGCATCAGCAATCTCCCCAGGTTCTAGTCATGAGTTGCCAAGACCATGGAAGCCTTTTGAGTTCGCCAACTTTGATCTTATTTCGACAAGGCCATAGTCAAAGTGGAAGTTCTCTCCTCCCTTCAGAGAAAGGTACCTCCTTCTTTGATGGCCCATTCTTTCCACTGGAATCTCACTTGCAGAGATCTTTCATTTAGGTCCTTTGTTTTCTTTTCTTTT